GCGATCAGTCGTCACAGTTGGCATATTTGTTATGAAAATACATTGTTATGCTCTATATCAGAGGAAGCCGACCTCGGCTGTCATGATTGTTGAAGATTTTTTTTTCTGCATATCGATATTTATCTTGGTCGGCGGTCTTTGTTATCAAAGCTCGCCCGATACAAGAACCAACAAGTTTTTATTTTTAAAATCAGTTGGGTTGCACATTCATCCATATTTTAAAAATCTAGAATAAAATGAAATGTATGATAAACTTGCTTACATTCAATATGTGACGGCACAATGAACATCAAACGCAGATCAATATTTTGGCGGAGACGCTATTTTTCGGAGAAAGTCCAAAAAGTTACGATCAAATTATTTTGCCTACCCCAAATGTCCCTGTACATAAAAAGAATTTTAGTAGTACTTGATACGACCAATCTGACATAAATTTTATAAATACCTACTATGTATCGAAACAATACAAAACTTAATTGAATGTTACTTCAATGTTGAAATACTAGCTGGTGATAATGCTCAGTACTAATTAAATTTCAGGGTTTCTCATACCTGCACGTCTGGCATGCAATGCAAGTTTGGTAAAAATTCGAGTCTTATTCAAGCCACTGTACTACACATATTACAAGCTCTAATAAATTAATATTAAATTTGTAAGTTTTTCTTCGCAGAACTGGGATGGTCGGAGTAGCTGCCCTGAAATCATGGGGCACCAGCACAACGGTCGCCCGGCGAGCGGTGAGAATCATCAATATAACACGAGCAGCGTTGTTATTTTACTTGCACCTCAACCAGAATTTTTCACTGCACATTGAATTCAATCTGTAAACCTTGTCGAATACTTCCTAAAGCATTTGTTTTTATATATAAAACAGTGTGAAGAAGTTCAATTTTGTAACTTGCTTGCTCATGTATTTTGCAGGACAGGTTCAACAAGGACGTCTCGGATTTAGCTTTGGTAAACCAACGTCAAATAAAGGGTAAGAATTATTGATGCAATACAAGAAAAGATTTTATTTGTGAACTCCTTAAGCAGATATACTCACTCTATAATTGTCATCAGCGTATCCTCCATCAGGAATTCTTTCATTGTATCATCGCTCTGGGCGACGAGCTATTATTCCTCCATAATTTTCATCTTAGCTTACACTAAAAACAAAGCTGTGCTATTGATTATTTCGCTGTTGCAACATTTCCGTGAGTTCTATTAATAACCTCAGTTAAGAGTACAATTAGGAAGTCTGATGCATTCAACTTCCATCGATCATCTTACCTTGCACAGCTTCCATTTAGATTTGTTAACTTTTCAGCTGTCGAGACAAATGAAAATGCGACAGGAACGAAGTGGAGTCATGGATCGACAACTACGAGAACTCGAAGTGAATTTTTGACGAGCTCCAAACGTCTTAGTAACATTGAAGGAACAAAATACAGTGAGATAAATCTGCGCTTGGCCGCTTTCAAGGAAAAATCATCGTTGGTTGACGACATCAAAATTGACAAAGTTAGGAATGGCCAAATTACGACAGAGAGCAAATACTCGAAAAACTCCAAGTGGGCCAACGAAGCCCAATTGCCCAGGAAATCGGGTTCTGTTCTTCATTATATGGTTCAAGCAAGACGTGGTGCCGGCTTTCGCAGATTGACAGAGAAAAAGTCTCGTATTATATCTGAATCATTTACAATGAGCCCAAACAGGGATATTCAAGGGTTGTCTTCAATAGAGAAGAATACTACCCTAACAACAAGTGAAAATGTTCTAAATTCTGATGGAAATCAATGGAAAGCCTCAAAATCGCCAGAAAAAGTAAAGAAATTGTTTGAAGTTGACGCACCCGTCACGAACGCTTCATCAGAAGGCGTCGCCATCCAACACCCATCGCCATCTAACACCCTGTCTGCTGAAGCGTCGCTATCGAACACGCATTCCTCTGAAGCACCGCCGGCAAACACGCTACCCTCTGAAGCGTCGCCATCATACACGCTGCACTCTGAAGCACCGCCAGCCAACACACTGTATTCTGAAGCGTCCCCGTTCAATACGCTATCTTCTGAAGCTTTGCCATCCAACACGCTGTCTTCTGAAGCGTTGCCATCCAACACGCTGTCCACTGATGGGTCGCCAGCCAACACGCTGTCCAATGAAGGGTCGCCAGCCAACAAGCTGTCCACTGAAGGGTCGCCAGCCAACACGCTGTCCACTGAAGAGTCATCAGCTAACACGCTGTCCACTGAAGGGTCGCCAGCCAACACGCTGTCCACTGAAGGGTCGCCAGCCAACACGCTGTCCACTGAAGGGTCGCCAGCCAACACGCTGTCCACTGAAGGGTCGCCAGCCAACACGCTGTCCACTGAAGGGTCGCCAGCCAACACGCTGTCCACTGAAGGGTCGCCAGCCAACACGCTGTCCACTGAAGGGTCGCCAGCCAACACGCTGTCCACTGAAGGGTCGCCAGCCAACACGCTGTCCACTGAAGGGTCGCCAGCCAACACGCTGTCCACTGAAGGGTCGCCAGCCAACACGCTGTCCACTGAAGGGTCGCCAGCCAACACGCTGTCCANATCCTCTGAAGCGTCGTTATTCAACACGCTGTCCTCTGAAGCATCGCCATCCTACACACTATCGTCTGAAACGTCGTCATTCAACAAGCTGTCCCCTGAAGCGTCGCCATCCAACACGCTGTCATCTGAAGCGTCGACAGTCAACGCGCTGTCCTCTGAAGCGTCGCCATCCAACACGATGTTATCTGAAGCGTCGACAGTCAACACGCTGTGCTCTGTAGCGTCGCCATTCAACACGCTGTCATCTGAAGCGTCGCCATCCAACGCGCTGTCATCTGAAGCGCCGACAGTCAACACGCTGTCCTCTGAAGCTTCGCCATCCGACACGCTATCCCCTGAAGCGTCGCCATACAACACGCTATCCTCTGAAGCGTCGCCATCCAACACGCTGACCTCTGATGCTTCGCCATCCGACACGCTATCCCCTGAGGCGTTGCCATACAACACGCTATCCTCTGAAGCGTCGCAATCCAACATACTGTCCTCTGAAGCGTCGCCATCCAACACGCTGTCCTCTGAAGCGTTTCCATCCAACACGCTGCCCACTGAAGCGTCGCCATCAAACACTCTGTCCTTTGTTGACGGATCGCAAGCTCATACGTTCTCTTCTGAAGCGTCGTACGTCAGCACTCTATCCTCTGAAACTTTGCCAGCCAACACGTTGTTCTTTGAAAGCACGTTGTTCTCTGAAACTTCGCCAGCCAACACGCTATCCTCTGAAACTTTGCCACCCTTTGAAGCGTCGCCATCCAACACACCGTCATCTGAAGCGTCGACAGTCTACGCGCTGTCCTCTGAAGCGAGGCCATCCAGCAAGCCGTCCCTCAACGCGTTGCTATCCTCAACGTCGTCCTATGACTCATCCCCAGCACGCACGCTCTTTTCTGCAGCATCGTACGCCAACACGCTGTCCTCTGAAACTTCGCCAGCCAACACGCTGTCCTCAGAAGCGTTACCAGCCAACGCGCTGTCCTCTGAAACTTCGCAAGACAACACGCTGTCCTCTGAAACTTCGCTAGACAACACGCTGTCTTCTGAAACTTCGCTAGACAATATGCTGTCCTCTGAAACTTTGTCAGCCAACACGCTGTACCCTAAAATTCTGCAAGCGAACACGCTATCCTCTGAAACTTCGCCAGCTAACCTCGTGTCTTCTGAAACTTCACTGGCCACTACGCTGTCGTCTGAAGAGTCGTCAGCCAACGCGCTGTCTTCTAAAGCGTCGTTAGTTTATACCCTGTCTTCTGAAGCGTTGCCACTCAGCATCCTGTCTCGTGAAGCATCGCTCCTCTGAAGCATCGCCAGTCAGCGAGCTGACCTCTGAATCATCGCCAGTCAGCGAGCTGTCTTCTGAAGGATCGCCAGTCAGCGAACTGTCTTCTGAAGCATCGCCAGTCAGCGAGCTGACCTCTGAATCATCGCCAGTCAGTGAGCTGTCCTCTGAAGTGTCACCAGTCAGCGCACTGACCTCTGAACCACCAAACGGCCCTTATTCGTCTGATGTGCCGGTCAGCTCGGGGCCGTCTGAAGTGCCGGTCAGCACGGTGTCGTCTGAAGTACCGTTCAGCACAGTGTCGTCTGGAGTGCCGGTCAGCACAGTGTCGTCTGGAGTGCCGTTCAGCACGGTGTCGTCTGAAGTACAGTTCAGCACGGTGTCGTCTGAAGTCCCGTTCGGCACAGTGTCGTCTGGAGTGCCGGTCAGCACGACGCCATCTGAAGCTCTTTTCGTTACTACGGTCGGTTATTTCACCAACGCCTCGGTCGGAGATTTAGGCTCCAGCGCTCTGCTCCGAGATTCGAACGGCAAACTCGGACACACAAATTCAACTGAAGCTTGGTTGTGGGGTCCAGAGGATAAATCTAAATTTGAAGTTTTTCGTCAATACCGTAATGAAACTAACTCCCTAAGAAGCATGACAGGGTCCGATATAGGATCAACTCCTCCCTCAGAAGATACATACGGAAATGGTACGAGTAAAACAATATCATCGTCAAATAGTAGATTCAATTCCAGTGCTACTAAAACACCGTTGGTCGCCTTTCCCCATTACGTTGCTAAACTCGGCTCAGATTCTATCGTGACAAAATATCGTAGCAGTCCAACATCCACGGCATCGGAACCAACAAGTATGAGCCGCGCTAGAGCTGAGTCGGAAGTAACAGAATTCAGCTTAATTACGAAAAACACGTCAACGTACCTCGCCGAACCAGAACTCATGAAAAATAAAGGAGAACAAGGCCTCAAAGGATCCAGTACAATAACAACGGACACGGCAACGGGCATTGCACATTCTAGCACAATTACAACTAATATGGCAACGGGCATCTCATATTCTAGCATAATTACAACTAATATGGCAACGGACATCGCAGATTCTAGCACAATTACAACTAATATGGCAACGGGCATCGCAGATTCTAGCACAATTACAACTAATATGGCAACGGGCATCGCAGATTCTAGCACCATTACAACTAATATGGCAACGGGCATTGCAGATTCTAGCACAATTACAGCTAATATGGCAACGGTCGTCGTAGATTCTAGCACCATTATAGCTGATATGGCAACGGGCGTCGAAAATTGGAGCACCATTGCAATGGATACGGCAACGTTTGTCGTAGATTCAAGCGCCATTACAACTGATACGGTAACGGGCGTTGCAGATTCTCGTACTCTTGCAACCGATATGGCAACTTTCGTTGGAGACTTCAGCACCATTACAGTTGATACGTCAACGGGCGTCGCATATTCTAGCACCATTCCAGCTGATACGTCAACGGGCGTTGAATATTCTAGCACTATTGCAACTGATGCGGCAATGGGCGTCGCAGATTCTAGCGCAATATCAACTGATACGGAAGCGGGCGTCACAGTTTCTAGCATTATTTCAACTTATATGGCAACGGGCGTCGCACATTCTAGCTTTATTACAACTGGTACGGCAACGGGCGTCGAAGATTTCAGCACCATTACAACTGATACGACAACCTTTTTAGCAGATTCAAGCAACATTGAATCTGAAACTGACAAACCTAACAGGACAACGGACATGGCAACGGACCTCACAGAACCAGGCATTATTGCAACCGACATGGCAACGGGCCTCATAGAACCAGGCATTATTGCAACCGACGTGGCAACGGACCTCACAGAACCAGGCATTATTGCAACCGACGTGGCAGCGGACCTCACAGAACCAGGCGTTAATACAACCGACGTGGCAACGGACCTCACAGAACCAGGCGTTAATTCGGACCTCACAGAACCAGGCATTATTATAACAGGTACGGCAACGGACCTCACAGAACAAGACATTACATCCGACGCTGCGACGGACCTCACAGAACCAGGCTTTATTGCAACCGACGTGGCAACGGACTTCACAGAACCAGGTATTATTGCAACCGACGTGGCAACGGACCTCACAGAACCAGGCATTATTGTTACCGACGTGGCAACGGACCTCACCGAACCGGGCATTAATGCGACCGACGTGGCAATGGACCTCACAGAACCAGGCATTATTGCAACCGACGTTGCAACGGACCACACAGAACCAGGCATTGATGCAACCGACGTGGCAAAGGACCTCACAGAATCAGACATTATTAGAACCGACGCGGCAACGGACCTCACTGTACCAGGCATTGTTACAACCGAAAAGGATATTGAATTAGCTGAATTCGGCACTCGCCTCGTTGACTCGATTTCGGTTAAAAGTATGCCTGTCGCAATTGAGGTTGTCGCTGCTCTTGGTTCCATGCAAGATAACGCATCTAGTCATTTAAGTTCCTTCACTAGAACTTATGATTATTTTTCAGGAATCAGCCGCCTCATTGAAACTGATATCACGAATACTGAATCGAGTATTATAGCGCCAGTTAGTTTAGCTGGATCTCGGGCCAGAAATGTAAATAAATCAGGCTCTGCGAAAAATATTTTAGAAGAAGACACAGAATCTACCTCAGAATACTCGGCCTCAAATATTGTCGGCGGATCGGTCCCTAGCACTGAAATCTTGGAAGAATATGGAGATAGTTTCTCGACTCCAGACGCCCCTCTGGAGTTCATTGCATTCAGGACCGCCTCTGGTGCCAGCTCTCTCCAGGTCAAAGCACTCAATCAGCCTGCACAGCGTCAAAATAAAAGCAGCTCGGCGAGTGGTGCATCGTGGCGTGGACTTGTCTATAGTACTAAGACTGAAGCCACAATTGGTTCCTACAGAAATATTTTATCTGACTTCACGAAACGAAGCGCAACGGGTTCAACTGGTTTCGTGACTACCACCGAAGACAATGAAAATATGTCTACTACAGAGGCTGTAATAGGCTTCAATGGTTCCTGGCTAACTCACGAGTCCTCAACGAATCTTACTGATTCCATGTCTGCTTCAGAGGCCTCAACGGAATTCCTTGGTTCCACTTTCGTTGCTGAAGTCTCAACGGTTTTCACTGGTTCCACATCTGCCTCTGTCGCCAAAACGGATGTCACGGGTTCCATGTCTGCCCCTGAGGTCTCAACGGACTTCACTGATTCCACGTCTGCCTCTGGGGCCACAACGGACTTGACTGATTCCATCTCTACGTCTGACGCCACAATAGATGCCACCAAGTCCACAATAGATGACACCAAGTCCACAACAGATGACATCAAGTCCACGACAGAACACATCAAGTCCACAACCGAACACATCAAGTCCACAACAGAACACATCAAGTCCGTAACAGATGACATCAAGTTCACAAGGGATGACATCAAGTTCACAACAGATGACACCAAGTCCANCCACCACTGACGCTCAGCTCACCACCACTGACGCTCAGCTCACCACCACTGACGCTCAGCTCACCACCACTGACGCTCAGCTCACCACCACTGACGCTCAGCTCACCACCACTGACGCTCAGCTCACCACCACTGACGCTCAGCTCACCACCACTGACGCTCAGCTCACCACCACTGACGCTCAGCTCACCACCACTGACGCTCAGCTCACCACCACTGACGCTCAGCTCACCACCACTGACGCTCAGCTCACCACCACTGACGCTCAGCTCACCACCACTGACGCTCAGCTCACCACCACTGACGCTCAGCTCACCACCACTGACGCTCAGCTCACCACCACTGACGCTCAGCTCACCACCACTGACGCTCAGCTCACCACCACTGACGCTCAGCTCACCACCACTGACGCTCAGCTCACCACCACTGACGCTCAGCTCACCACCACTGACGCTCAGCCACTGAATGTGTTATCTCAGCCACTTAATGCGTTATCTCAGATAGTAACACATCGCTCGGTTACAGTAACTCATCATGACTTTGTTTCCGCCATGCACGCTCCTTGGTCATCCACTTTGTCGTACGAAGACGTCACTCCGCTGTCGCCTGACATGAAAATTAGGGCAATATTGCAGCAAATGTGGGTTTCTTTGCGATTTACATCTAAAATAATGCATCTATCATGGAGAGAATGCAATGTCTCTTCATCTAGTCAGATGCACAGCATCAAACAAATAAACGCAGCTTTTCGTTGGGCAGTCAGTAATTTAATTCAGCTTGGAACTGGACCAGAATTGAGGTCGGAAAAGTCATCGGGCGATGCGCCGTTTGATCTCGTGCTTGCTGGCGTTGTGTGTTCAAATGAAACTTTACCGAACTTCATCTCGGCCAAAGTCATCCGTCTCGCTAATCCAATTTTCTATCTGACGATATATCAGCGTTTGATTGCTCAGCTTCGCTTAATTCGAAGTAATTTAACGTCTCAAATTTTACCTGATATGAAACTTGATACATATTATCACGCTGTTTACTACTTTTATGCCTATGTCACCAACTTAAAGAGGATGCTGGCCATTTACAACAACGGAATCAATTTACCGGCTGCAAATTTAGAATCAATGCAAGCTTCCTACTTGCAAATCGACTTTTTAGTGGACGAGTCACTCGGTGTTCTCACCAACGCAAAACATCGGCTTGTCAACTTCATAAAAAACTCAGTGGAGTACTGGAAGCTTGTACGACACGCGGAACTTTTCAGCAGGTTTATTAAGAAGTTTTGGCTCCCTAAATCTATCGCTGAGAAAGTGAGACGACTTCAGCAGCCTAGCTTGTATTTGGGTGCAGTTGAGGCATCTCTCATCGAAACCCTCAGAAGAACAACATATCTACTCTATCAACAACAACCAAATGATGAATCATGGCTAACCGACGATTTCAACAATCAATTTGGTAAGTTTTTTGTTCTAATTTTGTTAATATTCAGTGAATAGTCTGCAACACGTAATATGTGCATCGACGTTGTTCTTGGATCCACGGCTGCATGGGTGTGCGGTCCAGTGTGCCAATATCAAGTTTATTTCTCCACAAAATACGTTTCTAGCGCATTATCAATTGATTTATAAAGCTTCTGCCGTTCATATATATTTTAATTCTACGTTATTTACCAACATAAATTTTCTCATGACAAAATCGTATGTATATTTGTCGTAGGAAATGGCTAAAAGTCTGACACAAAAAATATATTGGGGTTGTTCGAGCGCGTCATCTGTATCGTTCCACGCTAATTAGTGTGTCGGGATATTCCTTGTGAATTTATTTTATGATTTTGGAATCTTGTAAAATCGACAAAAGAATAAGAGTGTTAGGCTTGAAACTTAAATGTGGAATTTCGTTTGTAAATTTTGGTATATTTCACATTTAAATTATGATACTGAGCGAGTGTAAATTGTAATTTTGTGAGTGTAAATTTGATTTAAAATAAGCTTGTTAGCCGGGATCGATAATTCCAGCAGTTTTAAATCACGTTATCCCAAATCCCGATAGTACTAAAACTAAATCATAATTACAAGAGACACTTAAGAGCCCAAATCTTTCATAGATCACCTATCTCACGCTCGGGACAGAATCTACTCTACTTTTTGTTCCGTCTTCTAAACTGATTTTTGTATACAATATTCATATACAATTTCATTTTTTAATCCAATAATTTTCCCCTAGTTTTATACGATAATTTCAATGTGCAAGTCATTTCCCAACACTAGAAGTATCATGAATATATTTATATTTACGGCGCCTCCTTATATCTTATATTGACCGCTTCCCCCCTTATATATAAAGCGCAGGGCAACAACACTCAAGAAAACAGACACACAATTTTTGACAAATATATGCAAGAATATAGTTCAAATTATTCGTATTTTATTAAATTTTAAGAGGGAGCACGGCGCTGAATGAGGGTTTGAATGGTCAGATCTATAGTTGCGCAACTTTAGTTTCAAAATTACTTATTGAATTCTGGATTATATGCTTGGATTAATGACCGGATTTCGAATAAAGGTATTTTCAGATATCAAATTTTATGTATCGCTGGCGATGCTGGGCTAAACTGGTATGGATTCCATACGACCATCAATCGCTTCCACTTTATTGTCAAGATGAATAGGCTGCACAACTTCTAGCCTTATCATTTGTGCAAATGACCGGATTTCTGCAACAATTCGTATCCGTAATCATACCATTTTATATTTCCAGTTGCCGTCAACTCTTCGTGCAGTAAAATCGATAGAAAAAAATTGGAATTGAGCCTGGAGGCCCTCAGTAACGCGTCTGCATACCTCACCCAAGTCGATAGAATTGCATTGAACAACTCGGTTTCCAAAGAAGATTGCCTACGCAGTCGACACTTCTACGAATTCGTCGAGGACACCATTGACGTCACCACAAGCATTTACAGCAGTATTGCCGAGTCTACCATCTCAACAATAACTAATCTCAATCAATCAGTGTTGGATAGAAACCTGATTAATTTAAGTGCCGTGTCTGCTTTATCGCTTATTTACTGGACCCCCTCAGACCTGAGACAAGCTCTACGCCAACTGTCCTCCTCCCCAGCCCGCACCAGGGCCGCGCTGTCGACCGCAGTGCTGGCGGCGCAGCTCCGACGCGTCGCGTCACAACACAGCGCCGAGTGTCAACCTGGTGAACAATATTTAAATAATTCAACGAGATCGACTTTATTCTGACATCTCGAGCATTCGTAAAATAATTTGTTGTATATCAAAGCTTATTCAAACTCGAAATAATCAAAAGCAACATGTGCTAAGCACTTCTTGCTTAAATAGGCAGTGGGAGTTAAAAAATTTTAATTTGTATAAATCTTGCATTTTCTGTTTGTAGCTACACGTAATAAAAAGAAGCGTATTGATTCGGTACTTTTCCTTCTTCCACATAAGCGTTTGTTCGAATTCCAGAGAATTGAACTCATTATATTCGTAACTCGCATTAGAGGTTTTCCCATGCAAGGTGGAACAAAAACGTACCGGCCTGGAAAATCAAGACTTCGTTACACAGTCCGTCAGTCCACCGATTTTTGGCAGCAGACATTCGGGCGTTCATTATAAATAACGAATTTTGTAATATATCTGTTCAAACATGCATTGAGTCAACATACAAAAATAATTTATTCAGACTTATTTTGTCTGGAATCGAGTTTAGTGTTGCGACTAAATTAACATAACATAACATAGTGATGGAGCGGTCTTAAGTCAATTTAATTAGTTAATTGGATTTCCATGCCCATATATATAATTTTTGATATATTATTAATTTGAAACTTCTTGCCAACACCACTGTTTGGTGTTATTATTTAGTGATATTTAAGGACACAAATTATCGCACCTCAAAGGCAGAAATATTGAACTAATAAGACTTCTATGTTTTATATGAATTTTGCTTACATGAATGTAACACCGAGTTTGGTGCAGCTATATTTTGGGACGTGTGTTGTGTCTCGGTCTGTCTCAAGATTCCCTTCGCCGACTCCGCTGAGGCAGATTTACTTGCTTATTTAAGCCTAAAACCTGGCAATGCCAGGTTTTAAAATGCAAAACCCCGGCTCGTGATATAAGGTTAGATGCCTTTCAAACCGATTGTAATTGCAATTGCCAAAAAGTTTGTATGCAGTTCTAATTCCCAACATACTTCACGTCCATGAACTGGCGAAATCATACAACTTATGACCTCAAGAGGAATGGTCGAAATTACAGCCACTGTCGTGCGGAAACTTGTAGAAGCTGCCTTGATACCATTTGACAGGATCTCGTGTCAACGGCTACTGTCTCAAAATGCCTAGCAAATTACGGACCAGGCAATAAGTCCAGCAGCTATCTCAATCAATCGTCAGTTATAGGAAGATTTGTTCAAAAGGCCGGATCCCTTGTGAATCAAGTCACGAAAAGTTCAAGAATCGGCAACAGGCCATGGGCCTAATTCTTCAGTGCCGACACTTCTATTCTATTCTATTCTAACGGCGTCCTCGATGCGTATCCCTATAGCATCTCTGAGTAGCGGCATCCTCGACGCCTCAGCATCGCAACGTACCTAAAACCGCGGCGAGGGATGCTCTGGGAACAACACGCGTCGTTGGATCAAAGTAGTAATCGAGTTATTTTGTACACTGCGATGACAACCGTCGCAGTCGTTCTTATTAGAACGTTCTTAGTCTCAGGCAACCGATCAGAGCAGAGATGTTGAATTGTGTTGCTTCAAAACGTGGTCGTCACAGTTTCTGATAACGAGTTCTTAGTTTCCAGTAAAAAGGAATGCGGGATTTCATCGCACAGATGGTTTGGCGCAGGGTAGAATTACGAATGTCCCCACTTGATGCATTATATGCCTAATCAGGAATGTAATATTTTTTCTGAATCACAGAAATTCAAGACAAACCATATTGTTGCCCTGTAACATTTTTTTTGCATACAAGAATATCTCATTTATATAATTTTTCATTGTTTATTATTGTAATTGCTGAATGCTCGTTAAGTTTTCCATCGACAAGTTATTGACTTCTATAGCAGCCAGAGAACAAGCAGATATTAACACGTACGCGATTAACAAATCCTATACATGGATCTTTGCTTTATATATAAATGTATTCTGTCCATGATGTGGGCGCAACAGACAAAATATTTCTAATATGGAATATTTTAGGCAACGGCCACAGTTCATGCGCGCATAAAATAAATTGTGAACGGTACGCTATTACAGAGACATCTATTGAATTCAGATACTGATCGAGTCTAAGGAAAGATGTTCAATATATAAATATTGTGATGAAGGAGATTTCTTCCATGCATGATCACAGTTCTTGGTACTGATGATGCGGCCCACAAGATTGTCCAATAATCTATCTACATTTGCACAATTAGCTATGACATTAACGATATCATATTTACTTATGAGAATCTGGCTTACGGCCTACTTGAAATTCCTGATGGAAAGCCTAGGCCCAATACCACTGGTCCCTAGGGTGACGTCTCGGCCAGTCCGCTGTGGAGGTCATTTGATCAGTTCTAATGGCACGGCTTAATGGTCTGCTCAAGCCTAATGTTCGGAGATTAGTGCAATGATGAAGTAACCTTGTTATGGGCGCTCTATAATTGCTCTTCAATCGACCCTCTCGCTTCAATTCAGGTTTTTTCATGCAGGAAACTTCGTAGAGAGTTGTTGAACTGTGGTTACGTTCCGGGAAATTGTCTATTTTAACTCTACGAAGATTTTAGAGTCGGAATGCGTGGAGGCTATTCCCGTGTTTAGGGAGAAACATTAGATTGTCGAGCCATGAAGAGGTTACTTGGACACACGATTTGTTGAAGTTGAAGATTTTAGAGTGGCCAAAGAATGAAGATGCTTAAGATGTACTTTTTTATATAAAGTGCTTAGCTGTTATTTTTATAGTGATAATTTTTAAACGGTTCGTAACACGCCATATATCTTTCTTGCTTTGCTTTCTTTATATTGGATAAGAAATAAATATTGAGATTTTCGAATGGAATAAGGTTGTTTTGTTCCAAGCAATGGCCAGTTATACCATTTTTCATTTCATTCTATTTCGGAATGTTTAATATTCAAAGCGAGAAAATTATGACAAGAGTAATTTCAGTAAGAAATTCATGAACCGATTTATGTTTTTTCTTAAGGCGACATTAGCTGCGATGCTCCCAACTTTAGATTTGTTTAAAATTCACGACCATATCAAACTTGAATATATACATGCGTATTCAGGCCTTCGGGAGCGTCTGAGCCGAGACCTAAATTCAATAATGGCAAAGCGCTTCATAAAAGTCAGTAGTGGTATATTTATTGGAAGCTGAGGGCAGCACAACACTGGCTGGAAGCTTGCAATTAGTTGGAAAGTTTTCCAAACACAACACACCGTTCCCTGAAGAAAAAACAGCGTGAAAAATGCCATGACAGTCTCTGGATTCCACGAGCTCTTTCACTTTTTCAAATTACACGTAGCAAAGCGTCTTGTTTTTATGCATGGAATGCCATTTTGTCTGCTTGAAATTCAGGCTTCGTCAGCAATATGAACGCCTGTGATGGTAACACAGCGGGGATCGCAGCTTTAATTTTCGCTCAGCCTTCAAGATAATACTAATCAGATGGGCGTGCTGGAGAAGAACATTTCGGTGCCATTGGTGACTTTACCGCACCTATAAGGCTTCTTAATTAAACTGGGGCGCTCGACATGACGGTTCCCTCCTGACGTGCAGCAACGGCTTTGCTGTTGGGATGAAAGGAATTAAAGTAACAAGGTCGTTTGTTCACAAGGAATTTTGAATGTGATCTTCGTTAGTGATAATTAAATAACTTATTTAGGGATCAATTGAAAGTACTTTTGAACTGCTATCTTTTTAATCTAAACACCGACTTAACTTGTAAAAATTACATATTTTTGGTGTCATAAACTGCACTGATTAATTTGAAGTTCTCTCCTTTCTTACGCACATTGCGTGATAATGCTTAATGAACTTAATAACGTTCGTATAATATAAGTCTGCTTAAATTGCAATTTCACCAAGAATTTATAAACAAAGAAAGCGCCAAGGAAATTCGTCATATCTTCATTGAACACATTACGTTCCAGAGACCCGCTCCATCAGACGATCAAAACTGATCATATCATCATCCAAATCCAAACCACCCAGATAATCACCGCGGTCAACACCAAGAGGAAACTTAAGTCATTCCCAAGTCTTTACTCAATTGGATAAAAGTTACCAGACAGATTACCCCCACTTAACCAGCCAGTTACCCCAAGTCACCACTCAGATAACTGCCAAGTCAATCCTAAGTCGCCACCTATAGATGACCCCCAAGTCACCTTTTAATCACTTCCAAGTCACCCTTAAGTCACCACCCAGATGACCACCAAGTCACCTCCAAGTCGCCACCCAGTTAACCCCCAAGTCCCCTATTAATCACCCCCAAGTCACCTCCCAAATGACTCCCAAGTCTCCTATAAATCACCCCCAAGTCTCCCACAAGTCACTACCCAGATGACCTCCAAATCCCCTTTATTTCACCCCCAAGCCTCCCACAAGTCGCCACTCAGATAACCACCAAGTCCCCTATAAATCACCCCCAAGTCTCCCACAAGTCGCCACCAGATGACCACAAAGTCCCCTATAAATTACCCCCAAGTCCCCTACAAGTCACCACCAGATGACCACAAAGTCCCCTATAAATTACCCCCAAGTCCCCACAAGTTACCACCAGATGACCACAAAGTCCCCTATAAATTACCCCCAAGTCTCCCACAAGTCACCACCAGATGACCACAAAGTCCCCTATAAATCACCCCCAAGTCACCACCAGATGACCACTACCTGGTCGCGCTGGTCACGGTAACGAAGCAGGCTCGCCTCGTTACCCCGCTGCTCACACAAGTTACGGCGTCAGCCCAAAACTGGGCCCCAAAAAGAAGCTCGTCCTACAGTCCATGCAGAAGCGAACGAACGGACGCAAACTCTACGAGGAAACACGCGCTGGGCGCAACTTTCCTCTTTATTGAGTTTCAGGAGAAGCTTGAAAGCAGAGCTGCTCGTTAGGACGTCATGATTTTCTTTTAGATTTATCCTGATACTTTCTGCCCAAGCTTTTACATCCTGACTTCAAGTTCAATGCTGACAGCGTCGTCAACTTGTTCTTTACAAGCAAGCGCTTAACGAACCTCTCGCAATGAGGCAGTTAGCCGAAAATAAAATAAATTTTGGGGTGCAAGCATAAACTAAACAATGAAGCTCACTTGCTGCCTTGCGAGCGTAAACAAACTGTGCAGTATCAATACAACAATAAATTAGATCTAATTGCTGTACGCTGTGTACAGTATTCAATTTTCACTTTCCAAATTTTCATTAATTA